TGAAAGTAACTTGTTGATTTGTATGTATTGTATTTATATCTATAGGACCTTGAGGGACTACAGATGAAAACTAGCCTCCGTGGCTAATTCTGGCATTTTCTGTAATATGCACTGTCCCTTCTTAAACAAATGAACAAACAACAAACTATAACTAACTGTAATGCTGCTGTAGAGTGATAGCTCCAAACAATTTAAAACAATGCAGAATAACAAAAATATTAATACTATTATTTTAAAATGTACAGAGAACTTCTTCTGAAAGACATCTGGGCCCAGTGCCCTCAAAAGGTCACATTGGTCCAAAAGCATCTCAGCAAGTTATTTGTTTTCACTGTTGCTGCCAAAAACAGAACATCTGGACATCTATAGCAGACAGAAGTAAGTCTAATGAGAAAATAATGGCTGACTACAATGTAGCTGTTAATTCAAAAGAGTTTTTCAAAGGCATGCCAAACCAGTCATTTTATGCAGCCAAGAAATGGCACAAAAACCATAGAACAAACGAGGCAATTAAGACTGTCACAAAGCAGCGCTTTCCTTTGGAAAGAATAACTTCCTTTGTGGATTTTGGGCCTTGAAATTTTGGTGACGTTTTATTTCAATGAAAAACAATTAACTTGTGTTTTTCTTAACAATCTAAGTGTTTTTTTTTTTTACTTTAACAGAATGTTCACAATGAACAAAAAATAGTATTTTTCAGCTTCCTCTATCTGTGTGAGGTGAGGTGTGGGGAAGACACGTGAGAGCCGAGGCAACCTCAGGCATTTATTATAGTTGATGGTCAAAGTATAGAGCAGAACTACAAGCAATTTTTAAATTAAACACAAAGATTTCTGGAAAGTAATAATAAAGCTACACTCATTCAGCTGAGGCTTTGCAGTAGAGCTGCCACAAATGATTATTTTTATAATCGATTAATCTCCGATTATTTTTTTGATTAGTCGACTAATCAGATCATATGTTAATTGAATATAAAACATTCAGCTTATCGCACCAGAATGCAGCTGCTATTATATAACCATGGTTAGATTTTAGCTATATGCTAACTAAAAATAATTGCTGTGGAAGGTAAGTTCTAGCTCTGCAGATATTACACAGGTTTCTCTTTCATTTTCTTAAAATGATCCCACACTTTGAGCTCTGTTGTCAGGTAGCCATGATACCAGAGCCTGTCTGTATAATGTCTTGTGACGTCCACGGCCTACCCCAGTTACCACTACTGTGCATGTGTGTCAAGGACAGAAAGGCAGATGTAACAGTGGAAGGTGTCAAAGCAGTTTGAAGACAAAAACAAAGTAAAGAACAAAAAAAAAAAAAAACGATTAATCGATTATTAAATTAGTCATCGATTATTTTAATTATCGATTAGTCGTCGATTAATCGACTAATCGTGGCAGCCCTACTTTGCAGACGACAGCAGTAACCTGTTAAATCTATTCGGATGTAGCATAAAGGCTGCAAAACATTCTAAGGAAAAAATTAGTCACTGTCATCAAAATAAAACATAGTGAAGACAGAAGGGTCCTGATGTAAGATTCTTTTTTTAAACACAGTTATTAACACATTAAAAGTTCTATTAAGCTGAAATACTTTTGGTTGTATTTTTAACAACAGATCCAACTCAAACGTAATGTTTGACAATCTAGAAATCAAAAGGACCATTTTTACCTGAAGCATCTCCAACTTCGAAGTCACTGTCATCCGAACTGTCGTAGTCCAAGGCATCAAGGAGAGAGGCAGCAAGTGGTTTTACCTGCCGTCTCTTCAAGCTGCGGTCCACTAATGCAAAAAATAAAAAAAAAAAGAGAGAAAAACACTATTTTAGTCCTAACAAGCCTGTTAGCATATTTAGATTCAGATTATTTAGAATTAATAGGTCTAAATGAAACCATATGAAACTATTAAAATATAGTATAAAATGTAAAATCATCAACCGTTTCAAAAACTTTCTCACTGAATTAAAAAGATTTAACAACAATCTGGAAAGTTGTGCTGCAGATCAGAATCAGAAATATATAATAAGAGAATATAGTATAAGAGAATATATGATAAGAGTTAATCAATCATAATTGGAAGTTTAGAAAAGACACCAAATTGATCATGCAAACCAGTCACCACATACTGAAATATGATGGTGACTGGGTTACACAAACAACTGCAGAGATTAAAAATAAAACAGCAGGAAGTTGTTTTGCTGCACAAAATATAAAATCTCTAAAAATGCAAAAGTCATGAAGAATAACAAGTTTAAAGTAAAAAAATGTTTAACTGGGACTAAGTCTGCCCCACTATCCTGATTATCTTGTGTTATAATACAATCAAACTGTGCACTGTCGTCAAACTAATTATTGTAGAACAAGTTGACAACAAAACATCACCCAGTTCTCTATAACAGGGCTGAACTGCTAAGCAGACTGCAGACAAAAATAAAAAAAATGAAAAAAAAAAGAAGTATAATATATTCACTAGGGCTGTGTATTGGCAAGAATTTGGCGATACGATACATATCATGGCAGAGGGGTCACGATACGATATATCCCGATATATTGCGATACTGTAAGCAAGGCGATATATTGCGATTTTTTTGTCCAAAAATTCTATTAAATAAAAACCTCTTACTGACAAAACAAAAAAAAGAAAAGCTAATGTCTGTGTACAAAATGACAGGCCGGGTCCTCCGGAGGACCC